CCTAACTGCTTGCCCCCCTGCCGGCCTGATCACCCCTAACCGCCTCTGCCTCGGCCCCCACCACCATGGCTTTGTCCAGAGGAATCTGGATGCCTGGAAGATGTCTGGTCGACCTGGTCTAATTAGCATGTTACCCTTTTATTAGTATAGATGTGATTTGCAAGTATTTTCTCCCATTCCTCAGGTTGCCTTTTCACTCTGTCTTGGTGAAATATTCCAGTGAGTTTGAGAATAACAACATTCTGCTGTTGTTGAATGAAGTAGTCTGCAGATGTCAGTTATATATTGTATAGTTGCATGATTTTGCAACTATTGGTTGAGTTTCACTATGTCCTTACTGATCTTCTGCCTGCTGGCTCTGTCCGTTTCCAAGAGGGGGTATTGAAGTTCCCAGCTGTGATAGTGGATTTGTCTAGTTCTCCTGGTAGGTCGATCAGTTTTTGTCTCAATTAGGTTGATGCTCTGTTACTAGGCACACATATATGAATTGTTATGTCTTCCTGAAGAATTGACCCCTTTATCATCTTGTAATGCCCTTTTGCATGGTTGCTCCCAGCTGCCCTCCCCTGCCGGCCTGATCGCCTCCTAACAGCTTGCTCCCCTGCCGGCCTGATCACCCCTAATCGCCTCTGCCTCGGCCCCCACCACCATGGCTTTGTCCAGAAGGAATCTGGATGTCTGGAAGATGTCTGGTCGACCTGGTCTAATTAGCATGTTACCCTTTTATTAGTATAGATGTGATTTGCAAGTATTTTCTCCCATTCCTCAGGTTGCCTTTTCACTCTGTCTTGGTGAATATTCCAGGTGAGTTTGAGAATAACAACATTCTGCTGTTGTTGAATGAAGTAGTCTGCAGATGTCAGTTATATATTGTATAGTTGCCTGATGGTATGGTTGAGTTTTACTGTGTCCTTACTGATCTTCTGCCTGCTGGCTCTGTCGGTTTCCAAGAGGTGGTATTGAAGTTCCCAGCTGTGATAGCAGATTCGTCTAGTTCTCCTGGTAGGTCAATCAGTTTTTGTGTGTCTCAATTAGGTTGATGCTCTGTTGTTAGGCACACACATATGAATTGTTATGTCTTCCTGGAGAATTGACCCCTTTATCATCTTGTAATGCCCTTTTTTATCTATGATAACTTTCCTTCTTTTTAACCCCTTCCCCAACAATTTTTTTGTTAAAAACGTTTCTTTTTCAGACTAATTTTTTTATTTTGGTTCTATATAGTATTTTTGATGCTGGTTATGAAAACAGTTTGTAACTCGTCTTCCTATAAACCATATTTTTTTACCATATTTTCTTAGTATACTCGTCGACGACTGAAAAAGAACATTTTGTGAAAACGAGTATACACGTTTCTGCCGGGGAAGGGGTTAAGTCGGCTCTGTCCAAAATCAGTATATCCACTACTGCTTTCTTTTGACTAGTGTCGGGATGGTATATTTTTCTCCTCCATTTACTATTAATCTCATGTGTCTTTATATCTAAAGTGGATTTCTTATAGACAGCATATAGTTGGTTCATGTTTTTTGATCCACGTTGACAATCTCTTTTATTTATTTATTTTTTAAATATATTTTATTGATTTTTTTACAGAGAGGAAGGGAGAGAGAGAGTCAGAAACATCGATGAGAGAGAGACATCGATCAGCCGCCTCCTGCACATCCCCCACTGGGGATGTGCCCACAACCCAGATACCTGTCCTTGACCGGAATCGAACCTGGGACCCTTCAGTCCGCAGTTTGGCTCTATCCACTGAGCCAAACCGGTTTCGGCGACAATCTCTTTTAATTGGTGCATTGAGACCATTTACTTTCATAGTGATTATTGATATAGTTGATATGCAATGTCAGAAATAATATGCAGTAACCATATTTGTTGCTATTCTCTATTTATTGCCTTTATTCTTTGTTCCTATTTTTGCCTTCCACCTCTTTTCTGCCTTTTGGGGTTTTAATTCTTTTTCTATTTTTCTTTAATTTTTTTCTTCATTTTACATGATTCTATTTTGCCTTTTGCAACATATTAGTTATACTTTTAAAAAGTTTTCTTTAGTGGATACGCTAGAATTTACTGTATATATTTACAACTAATCCAAGTCCACTTTCAAATAATACTGTACTACCTCACGGGTAGCATAAGTACCTTATAATAACAAAGTAAGTCCTAACCAATTTGGCTCAGTGGATAGAGCGTCGGCCTGTGGACTGAAGGGTTCCAGGTTCGATTCCGGTCAAGGGCATGTACCTTAGTTGTGGGCACATGCCCATTAGGAGGTGTGCAGGAGGCAGCTGATCAATGTTTCTCATCGATGTTTCTAACTCTCCATCCCTCTCTTCCTCTCTGTAAAAAATCAATAAAATATGTTTTTTTAAAAAAAAGAGTTCCCAGTGACTCTTGCAAAAATGAGTAGTTAAAAGCCAACCCTGCCTCCAATTTAATCAGGCTAATGAAATTCAAACTTCACAGTATTATTTTTTCTTAACGTTAATTCTGGGAAAACATCAAAAGCTGTTCAAGTGTTATAGAAGACGGGAGAAAAACCAAAGCAACGCTTAGAGAAATGGAGCTACACAGCTTTATTACGCCGGCGGTCTCAGGGGAGTCACCTCCAAAACTCTGAACAAAGAAATCCGGTGGAAGCTTTTCCTTTATACCTTTTTGGCTTCTTTGTTCCCCAAGTATGGAATGGAGCTTCCGGATCTTTCTGGGGCTTTGCAAAAAGTCCCATGTGTGGGGCTGGGGGTCATGAGACCAGACCTAAGGGCCTGGTCTGGCGCCAGCACTGACAGCCCTCTCCAGGGGTTGTGTATTTTACGATTCATGGCCTCTGTAACATGTGAGCAAACAGATAAGAAATCTTGCTAGCCGAGACTGCAGGAAAAGGCAATAGGTTATATTTTCCCATCTGTGTGACATTGTTCTGCTTGAAGAACGTTCCCTTAGAGGGAACCAGATGTTATAGAAAGAATTAACCTTTAGCCTCTTCTCATCCCACCTCCCCCTCCCCCTTGTCCCACAAGCTTTTCTTAGCCTTGTGGTACAACGACTACCGGGTTTTATGATGAACAGGCACAA